AACCAGTGAGGACAATACAATGGAATAAGTTCTGTTCATGTCCAAACCCCAGAGCCTAGCATGGGGCCCATTAGGTAGTTAGAATGCTCTGTTTGCTAGGACTTGTCACTAGTAACTTCCCTAACAGGCAGATTCCTTGTTCTCTGGAAGCACAGAGAAGAGGGCAATTAGCGTGAGAGGAACTGGGGAAGACTTCTCACAGGAGAAGTTAGTACGGGGTCTTTTTGCCAGGTCTGGAAAACAACAGCTAGCTCTTCTCCGGAAGTGATGTCCCCTGCATCGGCAAGCGGATTCTTAACCACTGTGCCACCAGGGAAGTCCAACTCCCTTTTATTTTTTAAATGATGCTTAGCCACTCATTGAAAGTGGCTTGGAGGGGGCAAACATGGAAGCAGGAAGGCCTGTAGGGAGGTGACTGCAGAATCCAGGTGGCAGTAGAAATGGAGAGAAGCAGCCTGATTTGATGATATAGCTTGGAGGCAGAATCAACACGTCAACAGTATTGACTAGATGCAGGAGGAGAAAATAATGACTCTGAGGTTTTTGGTTTGAATGATTGGATGAATGATGAGGAGGGGAAGCCTGTGTAGGAGCAGCAGGTTTGAGCAGTTTTGTGTTTAGAATGTGTGAGACATCAGGGTGGTTACGTCAAGTTGATAATTGTTGTAAGTCTGGAGTTCAGAAGATAAGCCTGAGCTGAAGACGTAAATACATTTGAGAATCAGGGGGATATAGACAGTATTTAAACCATACTCAAAGTACTGGTGTGGAAAAATATTCATAATACATTTTAGGGCTAAAAAAACAAACAGTAGCAGAACAGTATGTTCGATATGATTCCAAATGTGACAGAAACTATGTTTATATATATATATAAGTATGTTGTCTACACACAGAAAATGTCTTAAAGAAAACAGGTATCAGTAATAGTCATCTTTGGGGATTGGCGGGTGGCAAAAAGATATGCGGGCCAATCCCTTTTTATTTATTTATTTGAAAAATATGTATTTATTTGGCTGTGCTGGGCCTTAGTTGCAGCACGCAGGATCTTTAGTTGCGGCATGCGGACTCTTAGTTGCAGCATGTGGGATATAGTTCCCTGACCAGAGATCGAACCTGGGCCCCAGGCATTGGGAGTGCAGAGTCTTAGCCACTGGACCACCAAGGAAGTCCCCCTTTTTATTTATAGCTTCGGTACAGGTTTTTTTTTTCTTTTTTAATAAGAAATTTCTTTTTAGAATTTTTAAATAAATAAAGCTATTCACTAGCCTGTTTTGTAGTTTGATACTCTAATTGTTAGGAAACCATTGACTGATACCACCCACCTTGGCAAGGCACAATGATAACCACTTGCACGAGTTGTCTCACAACAGGAGTTCCCAATGAGGAACATGGTGCTGCCACTGAAAACTAACCAGGAGAATCTGGGAGGGGCCAAAAGGAGGGAGGAGACGCCAGCCCATAATATTGTCCTACCAAGCTCTCAGAATCCTTTGCACTGGAATCCATCTTGGCTGAGAGATGCATGCACCACCAGGAAGGACCCTGAATCAGACCAAATATAGGCCAAGAAAGATGATTGGCCAGAGACAACCCTGAAAACTAACCCCATTACCATGAAACCTGAGACTGCGAGCCACGTGGCAGAGCAGTTCTGGGTTCCCTTACCCTGCTCCTCTCCACCTGGGGGCCCCTTCCCAATAATGTCTTTTGCTTCGTCAGTACATGTATCTCCTCAGACAATTCATTTCCGAGTGTTAGACAATAGCCCACTCTTGGGGCCTGGAAGCGGTCCCCCTTCCTGCAACATAATTAGCAGGCTGTTAGCTGCATGCTTCTGAGGCTCCTTCCCAGCACAGACTCCCACCCCATGGGCATGTTAACACCAGGGTGTCTGGAGTTTTGATGATTTTAACTTAATTTGACAAATATTCATAGAAGATCCCTTTCTGCTAGTTCTACTGAGTCAGGTATGATCAAGACACAGTCCCTGCACTTGAAGAGCTTTTTAACTATTGAGTTTTCAACTGACTACTAAACAAAACGACAAGAGGATGAGCAAAGGACCTTGGAATTGAAAAATTAATTCTGCAGGATCCACTCTGGTAGGCTTCACAAAAGGGGTGACATTTCATTCATTCAATCATGAATTGATCTAAGAGCTTATGAATAGATTGAGAGCTTACCATGTTCCAGACAAAGTCACCAGCCTTGTGGAAATTCCATTCTAGTTCATATTTCAGAGCCCTATATAATAGAAAGAACTTATCAGGCAGAGCTGGAAAGAAGTAAATTCTAGGCAGAGGGAACCAAGGGCTGGAGATGCTAAAGTGCATAGGAGGAACAGGACTGCAGGAATATTGCCTGGAGGAGCAATAGGTGGGGGGGAGGGTGGGGGGGGAGTGGGGGAGTGGGGGACACAAGACTGAAAAGGAGGTTAGGAAACTTAGTGTAAAATTCATGTTGTGAAATTTAGATATTTCCTGAAGGCAACTTAGAGACATTAAATTAATCAGGAAAGTCATTTTAGAGACTACCTTAAGACCAGCGAGTGGAGGATAAATGGAGGTGAAATACACCAGACACTTGGAAACCAGTCAGAAAGATTTTACATGAATCTAAGCAAGAAAGGTAGGGAAATGAAATAAAGTATGGTCTATGAGTATAAAAGGTGGAGAACAGATTTTAGACATCTCAGAAATCCAGTAAGACAGCTTGCACAGGGTGGATGTGGGGACTAAGTGAAAGGGAGAATCAAAGATAACTTACTGTAGGGACTTCCCTGATGGCGCAGTGGTTAAGAATCTGCCTGCCAATGCAGGGGACACCGATTCGAGCCCTTCCCTAGTCTGGGAGATCCCACAGGCCGCGGAACAACAAAGCCCGTGCGCCACAACTACTGAGCCTGCACTCTAGAGCCCACGAGACACAATTAGTGAAGCCCGTGCACCTAGAGCCCATGCTCCGCAACAAGAGAAGCCACTGCAATGAGAAGCCCGCGCACCGCAACGAAGAGTAGCCCCCGCTCGTCGCAACTAGAGAAAGCCTGCACACAGAAACGAAGACCCAACACAGCCAAAAATAAATTAAAATAAGTTAAAAAAAAGATAACTTACCCCAAAACTCCAGGCTTTAGTTTAGTGGTTATCATTCACTGGGAGGATGAAAACGGGATGATCTGAAGAGGAAGAAATTGAGTTCCATTCACACAGTCTAGTTCAGATGGCAGCCGAATGAATACTCAGTAACGGAAGACTTTAGGGAAACAGTTTCAAAAGCCAAATTGCAGAGGGCTGAAAAGTTAGGCGTTTAAGCAGATGGTATAGACTACTCTAAAGCAGCTTTGGGACAAATGACGGAAACAGATGGGATGGTTGGGGTGTGACAGAATGAGAGGTCTTTGTAGGTCAGGTGAAGTAATATGTTGCCGTGAGAGTGTGGTGGAAGTATTCCTGGGATCCAATGGGTAAAGCGAAGTCAAGAGGACCTCAGACCTAGACCAGTGATTCTCAAACTTGACTGAGCATCAGAATCACCTGAAGGGCTCATTAAACCACAGATTGCCGGGTCCCTCCGGAGTTTCCTATTCAGTAGGTCTGGGGTGGGGCCCAATAATTTGCATTTCTAACAAGCTCCCAGATGCTGATGCTGCTGACCTGGAGGCCACACTTTAAAGGTTTTTTAAATTTTTAAACCTGGCCTAGAGCAAAGCATTTAGTAGCTGGCATATGATGAATAATTTTCCAAGTGACTGGATAAGAGTACTCATATTCAGGAAAGGAGGTCTCCCTGCAGTTAAAGACCAGATGGAAGGTAAGTCCACACAGGAGGATGGAAGACGGTGGTCAGAGTAGAACTTCAGAGTCTGAATTCAGAGAAGGAGCAATTTTTGGTGGACAAGGTCCAGGATTACCCCTGCCAGGGGAGTGATGAGAGGTCAAGGAACTGAGAACTGCAAGGTCATCAAAATACATCACATCTGGCAAAGGCCTGAGTCTAAAGGGAAGCTCCATCAGGAAGTCAAGGTCTGAAGGGGAGTCTGGCTACTTTCTGGGTCTGAATTATGTAGAGTTGACTGGATATGCCCACAGACATTGTAACCCATCCAGGTTAATGCACCAATACAGGTAACAAATGTAAGGGAAGCTGGGGACTTTGTGCCAGCTCTGTTTGCACATCCTGTAAGTTAAGGTGTGGGCCAGGCCCCAGGCTTTTTGGAGGGAGTTCTAGGGTGGAAATCACAGTCTGGGGATTTCAGCCCTGGGAGGGAGCAATTCACCTTAGGTGCTAAGGGAGCAGGACAGACAGGAAGGCTGTTGACTCTGGGAGAAATGGCTTGTAGTGAATAAAGTTCCACTAGTTTAGCACGTTTACAGATTAAACACGTCTGCTAACCCTCAGCAATGACTGCGCCCTTTATAGCTTTCCCTTTACAGCTTTACAGGAGCAACGTTCAGATCACCCCTGTGGGGTATGAGCGTGATTAGGTCATAGATTAGGCCTTCAGCTTGTGTTCCCTACAGCCTGCTGGCAATGCCTCTGCCGCTTTATACCTGTGCAACCTTCCACAAACTTACCTCCTCCTTCACGCCTCAGTTTCCCGCTTGTAAAATGCCAGTAATAACAGGATACCACACAGGGCTATTGTGAAGATTACCTGAGGTAGTTAAGGTAAAGCTCTGGACCCCCACTGAGCACCCTATAAATACTAGTTACGATTTGTTACATTGTCTCTACGGGTCCTTGTCAGATTCCAGATACGTGCGCGGTCCCCCCTAACTGTTGCGTGCGCTCCTTCCCCTCACCTTTTCCAGCCAGACTGCATTTGCCGGTACTGGCGACGGGCTGGGTTTGTGCGCAATGAGGGTTCCCAGAGAAAAAGCCGCGCAACCGTAATAGGACTTGCAGTGGCGCCTGTCGGCCGCTGGGGGCCGCGGGGGCCTCTGGGGCCGCTGGGTTCGCCCCGCCCCTGAGGGGGTCAGAGGTCACCAGACGGCGAAGGAGAGGCTGCGCGTCGCGGATTCCCCAGTCCTGGGTAGATGGCGCCGGCGGAGCGCTGCCCTGTTTGCCGCCAGACCTTCTTCTGCGGCCGCGGACACGTCTACAGTCGCAAGCACCAGCGGCAGCTGAAGGTGGCTTTGGAGCGGCTTCTGCCTCAGGTGCGGACGGGAGGCTGGAGGAAACCCTGGACAGGACGGGGCGGGAATGGGGGCGGGGCTGTGAGGGCCCGAGGGGGTGGGATCTGGGGGTCCCGCCGGGGTCCTACTTAGCCTCTTCCCCTTGGTACCCTCTCCGCGGCAGGTGGAGGCCGCCCGCAAGGCCGTCCGCGCCGCTCAGGTGGAGCGTTACGTGCCCGAGCACGAGCGGTGCTGCTGGTGCCTGTGCTGCGGCTGTGAGGTGAGGAAACACCTGAGCCACGGAAACCTGACCGTGCTGCATGGGGGGCTGTTGGAGCATCTGGCCAGGTGAGCGCCGGGCCGGGAGCCGTATACAACAGTCGTGTACATTTGTGGGAGGGAGGGTTTAGGGTGGGTGAGAGGAAGAACGCTTTTGTGATTTGATTGAGTCATCTTGTAGGCATTGCCAGCCTTGAAGGTAGCGGGCTTACGGCTGCCATGGTCCCAGTGGTGTTGGTGGTCTAGCTGGGAAAGTCAGCTGGGCAGGTTCAATCAAGGTTCCCTCCCATCACTTCCTCTCAGATTCTCACATTTTTATTGGAAGGGGGAGACTGGAGATCTTGAAGAGTATTCTCTCAGCCTTGCCCAGAGACAGAAACCCAGATGTCAGTTTGCATTATTTATCTAATGCCTAGATATCTGTGTAATATTCTGCAATCTATCACTGAGATTACTTGTCCTTTCCATTCTCAGTCCAGAGCACAAGAAAGCAACCAACAGATTCTGGTGGGAGAACAAGGCTGAGTTCCAGATGAAAGAGAAGTTTTTGATCTCCCCCCAGGATTATGCACGGTAAGTCACTACTTCACATGATGAAGTAGCAGAGTGTGGCTTCTCTGGGCCTGTGTCAGGTACTGGAGCTTCCTCTACTGCTTGGGAAGTTTAGTAAGGACTTCATTAGTAACCATTGTCTTTGTAGCAGTCATTATCCTAGGCACCATATTGGACACAAAAGAAATATGACAGAGTCCTTGAAAGGTTTATAATCTAGTTGGGGGGGGGGATTTACAATGTATTTAGCAAATAGAGGATAGTGTATAATTAAAGCTGACCATAATCAACTACTTAAATGTATGACACAGAAACTACTAAGGTTCTTTAGGAGCAGAAGATGCTTTTTATAGTGTGCAAGAAACTGGTGCTCACCCAGTGCCCACTTTTAATAGTTTTAGACTCTATTTTAACTGGCCTCGGAGGACCCCAAGGAACCGGACTGTAGGAAGCTGGACAGCACAGAGAGGGAGTGAGCCCTGACTGCCTCAGGAAGAGGACTCAGGCAGCTCACATCATCACTTTTATTGGGACCATATTGAGATTGTGGAGTGTGGAACCCAAGGGGATCCCAAAGCCAAAGTTAAGAAAACACATGGTGTTTGTTATTTCTTTCTACCCAATGTGAAGAATAATGAGGAAATAAGAAATGCCTAAATCCCACCACCTTGCCTTAAAATCTGTGGTTCAGACTGGGAGGAGGTGAGAAACTGAGGCCACTCACTCCTCACACCCTGGCTCAGCTCCATATGGTTTTTGGTGGGTGAATAAAGGATAGTTGAGCAGCAAAGGTTATAATTGAGAATTATGAGGATGGACTCTTTGAACTTTTTATTTAAATATAATTTGACTTTTGAGCTTTATAAATTTCAAGCTCACACAAGGCCAGGCCAAGCCTGACTGATTTGACCAGTAAAGATACAACGAGCCACTTTTATTATTTTTTTAATTTTTTTTTTTAATAAAAAGTTTATTTTTGGCTGCGTCTGGTCTTTGTTGCTGCACGCAGACTTTCTCTAGTTGCGGCAAGTGGGGGCTACTGTTCATTGCGGTGCATGCACGGGCTTCTCATTGTAGTGGCTTCTCTTGTTGCGGAGCACAGGCTTTAGGTGTGCAGGCTTCAGTAGCTGTGGCTCGCAGGCTCTAGAGCACAGGCTCAGTAGATGTGGTGCACAGGCTTAGTTGCTCTGTGGCATGTGGGATCTTCCCAGACCAGGGCTCAAACCCGTGTCCGCTGCATTGGCAGGCGGATTCTTAACCACTGCGCCACCAGGGAAGTCCTAATCATTATTTTAAAAGATTAGTCTTTTTATTTGGCTGCATCGGGTCTTAGTGCCGGCATGCAGGATCTTCATTGCAGCACGCAGGCTTCTCTCTAGTTCTGGTGCATGCAGGCTCCAGAGCACGTGGGCACTCTAGTTGTGGCACGTATGGGCTCAGTAGTTGCAGCATGTGGGATCTTAGTTCCCCGACCAGGGATCAAACCCAAGTCCCCTGCATTGGAAGGGGGATTCTTAACCACTGGACCACCAGGAAAGTCCCACAGTAAGCTACTTTTAGATTCAGGCAGTTTGTTACATAGGCATTGAAAAGAGTAAGCCCGAAGTGCCAGCTTCCCAGGTTGTCCAACACACCAAAAAGGACCATACTGATACAAATAGGGCTGGGTGACTATAGTGTGAGCTGTGCGATACTTTTGCTGGGGAGCCAAGTCTAGACTGCAGCTACGTGCTTTTGTATCTACAGCTCAAACCTGAGAGCACAAAGTCCCATACCCCATCAGAACTGAGAGTTGATGAGAAACTGTTTCATAATGGTCTCCCATGAGAGATAGGGAGACGAGTGGGAGATGGCCTCCTAGCAGTTCCTTTCAGGCATCCTGTCCTCTTGTGTTCCAGGAGGATCATGCAGACCTTCAGCCAAAACTCTGATAAGCTGCAGTTCAAGGCTTTGCCTGTAAGGATACATGCAAGGCTGCCAGGGCACCTTGATAGAGCCATTCCCCTACATAAATGTTTTACATATTAAAATTAGGCAAAAAGGCTATAAGCTCGTGTGCAGTGGCAGAGTCGGCAGAGTAGTCGGCAGCGGCTGCAAGAGTTTGGCGACATGTCTCACACCATTTTGCTGGTACAGCCTACCAAGAGGCCAGAAGGCAGAACTTATGCTATGAATCTGTGAATGAATGCATGGAAGGTGTTTGTATAATGTATGAAGAACATCTGAAGAGAGTGAATCCCAGCAGCCCCTCTATCACGTATGGTATCAGTTATTTGATTTTATTGATGACCTGGAAGACCTCAGCTGCCTTGTTTACTGAGCTGATACCCAGACATACCAGCCTTATAACAAAGACTGGATTAGAGAGATTTATACGCTCCTTCATCATATAGTTGAGTCTGGAAGCATTAGGGGGATGGGGGTGGGCTTGGAACACAGGTGTGTACAGAGTGCTGCAGAAGAAGTTTTTATTATAGTAATCCAGTTTCCATTTTGGTATACGCTAGCCAGGGTTGAATGTATTAGATGAAATGTGAGGATCTTGTTCAATCAAACTCCTTTTGCCCCCTTCTCCCCCTCCCTTTTTAACTTAAAACATTTTTATGATGATTTAGATGGAAGTTGGTTTTTGTCAGTTACTGTTGGTTCCAGTCCTTCAAACTGTTCGTATCTGAACATTGACTGTACTAATACCCTTCTTCAGATCGGGGTGGGGGGTGCTGACGCAGTTTAGTTATGTCCTCAAGACAAAGTCTTAGTGAAAAACAAATGTCCTCTAGTTATATTTTCAAAAAATAATAATAAAATTAGGCAAACAAAGACAGTTATATTATATATCAGTTGATAACAATGATGAAAGAGTAAGAATTCAAGTAACATTTGAACACAAAAATCTGACTGCACACCCTTAGGTTTTCTGAGGACTAATGAACTGCAAAGAAACCTTGAGCTTTGCTTAGTAGTCTTATTGCTGACAGCAGCATTGATGTTATTCGGATACCTTTGTATTGTAGGATAAAAACAACTGCAAATATATTGTTGCCCCAAATATGGGACAATTTGGACATCAATAAAGGGAAATTGATTTTCTTAAGTATGGTAATGGTTTCATAGGCTGTTCCTGTTCCCAGGAGATGTATGCTGAAAAATCTAGAATTAAGTCTCATGTTCTTGGCAGAAAGGCAATGTGTTTATAAGCAAACTGGAGCCAGTATGGCAAAACGTTTACAGTGAATCTGGGGGAGAGGTACATGAGTGTTCATTGTACTATTTTGTTTCTGGGAGTTTGACACTACCCAAAATTCAGAGAAAAATGATCTACTGAGTATCTTTTCACAACTGACCGGGACTTGCCCTTTTTCTTTTTAGATTCAAGAAGTCCATGGTGAAAAGTCTGGATTCCTATGAGGAAAAAGAGGATGAAGTGATTAAAGAGGTGAGTTAAAGGAAAGGCCTCTGAAGGACCCAGCCCCCCCACCACCACCACCATTTTGTACCTATCTAAGCAGCCTCTCTCCCACAGATGGCAGCTCAGATCCGTGAGGTGGAGCACAGCCGGCAGGAGGTGGTTCGGTCTGTCTTAGAGGTTGGTTTCCCTCGGAGGAGCCAGAGCAGTATCCAAATCCGCTGATTCCTGCTTCTCCCAGGTCCAACATTTCACCTACCAGCTCTTCTTATGAGAATTCATGGACTCCATGCTTTATCTGCTCGGCTTGAATTCCCTTACCTGCCCACCAGGGTGCAGGCCTTTGTCAGTGGAGATGATGTGGGCCAGGCTGGGGAAGGGAGGCAGGGAGGGAGGGAGGGAAGTTTGCAAGATATGGGCAGTACCCTCAATATGTCAATTTGTTTACTTCTGGAGGGTGGGAGCATGGCCTAGGCAAATTCTTAAGCATCCTAGACACATTTATTTTTCCTGAATCAAACTCAGCCTCAGACAGTGCCAGACCCAGAAGAGGGCTCTTCGGCACCTGGAAGCTGGAAAGGGACAAACAGGTAAGACTGTTAGGAAACCTCTTATTGGGAGTTCTGACATCTCTTAGAACATTCTGTAACTTTGGCTGGGAAAAGGGAACAAATCTCATCTTTGCTATCCTCATGACTCAAGGACCTTGTCTGCCAGCCTGGCTCCTGTTTGTCTTTTTCAGCCAAGTAGCCTCCACCTCACAGCAGCCCTCATATGTGGACCTGCCACCAGCCCCAGAGCTTGACTGGATGGAGACAGGACAACCGCTGACATTCATTGGCCATCATCAGGTACAATGGATACGAAAGTTGGGAAAGGGCCAGTGCCCCCTCAGTTCCCAGGACACCCACCTCTCCTGGCTTTTCTGTGTATTCTGGCCTTTCCTGTCTAAGCAGGCTTTTCCCTCTTGCTGCCCTATCCCATAGTATCATGTTCTTGGACTTTTTCGTCACCCTCCATGGTGATCTTATCCACACACTGCCCCAATTGCCACATAGAAGTACCGACTCCTAAATCTCATCCTGTGCAGAATCCAGTTCCAGCTCAATACGGGGCATTTACAGATGCCCCACAGGCACCTGAAGCCACCCCACCACTCCTGTGTCTCCATTAACTGCAGATGCAGATCCTTATCTCCTCCTTTCTTTCATTTTTCACATTCCCTCAATGAGTATGTCTTACCTACTTTATCTCCTGAATACAAGCTGGTCTCTATTCCACCTTGGAACAATTCCTACTACTGCAATCTTGTCCCAAACACAACAGAAAATAATCGCATCACCTGCTGTCTTACATTCTATCCTCCAGCTGCACTGTGCTCCTCCTTGCTTTTGAACATGTAATCGCCATTGTCTTAAATGATATGCTTTCCTTCCCTCACCATCTACTTAACCCTCACCTTCCTTCAGCTCTTAGCTTGAATGTCACTTTTTCATGGAAAACTGTTATAAATGGATGTAGCCCCATGTAAAAAGCTGTGAATGTAATTTGTGTAATTCATACTTCTCTTTCCCAGTAGTATGTATGCTCTGTAAGAAAAGGGTTTCGTTTACCTACCATCTAGTAGGCACTTATTTTTGGACATCTCTGCTACTAAGACCTTGAGTCTGGTGAGGGCAAGACTGTCTTTCAGTGATTTGCTGTGCTTTGTAAGATTTAACATCAACCCAGTGCAGAACTAGCATCATGGCAGTGGTTCCATCCACCTCCAGTAAAATTTCTTCCTCTAGGCTATGAGTATCCTATCATCTCTTGGCTTTCTTATGATTTTTTCCCATTTCCAACTACAGGATACACCAGGAATTGGTAACATCCACTCAGGTAAGACCCACGGCAATATTTCTCAAACTGTAAGAAGCTTTTTTTTTTTTAAAGAATAAAGTTGATTAAGATACAGCACTGTCAGTCAACTTGGGATCTTTGAGACACACCTGAGTTCTAGGCCTTTCACTGGTAGAAGGGTATCGAAGGCACATATGTCAAATGTGTCTGAGTAACTCAGGAAAGTAACAGATGTACATTCACCTGTTTACCGGATTTTTTTTTTTAAAACTTTCAGATCTAAGGTGTTTTAAACTTAGAAAATGTCAGACATGGTAATTCTTATAAGGGTTTTTGTTCAACCACTATATGAGTGTGTGTTAAAGTGTTTTTTAAAAGAATACACTTAATAGTGAAAATAAAGAGTATAAACAACAGGGTCCTACTGTATAGCAGAGGGAACTATATTTAATATCCTGTGATAAACTATTATGGAAAAGAATATGAAAAAGAATACATATATAACTGAGTCGCTTTGCTGTACAGCAGAAATTAACACAACATTGTAAATCAACTATACTTCAATAAAATAAATTTTAAAAATAAAACTCGTTGCAATTGAGGGCCAGAGAAGTCTCTATACCGTACACAGTGCCCACCATGGCATTAGCCATGCTACAGCCACTCGTCTCCTTGTATTTCAACTAAGGGAAAAAGTACTTTGCTTGAAAAATGGAAGATTACAAACTTTAGCGTAACAAACGTCTTTCCAAAGTAAAGCAGCATCTGGTGAAGGATGTGTATTCTCAATGTATGAAAACCTCTCAACACTCAATAAAGGCATATAAAAAGATGCTCATCAAAATGGCTGAAACTAGGACTTCCCTGGCGGTCCAGTGGTTAAGGCTCCGCACTCTCAATGCAGGGAGCACGGATTTAATCCCTGGTCAGGGAACAATACCACATGCCACATGGCGTGGCCAAAGAATTAAAAAAGGCTAAAGACTGACCATTTATATATGCAGGAACTCTCATACGCTGCTGGTGGGAATGCAAACTGGCATAACTACTTTGGAAAACAGTTTGGCAGCTTCTTTAAAAGTTGAAAAAAAATCCCAATGTGCCTCAGCCAATGAACACTTCAAAAAATACTCAATAACGAAGAAGGAACGATGGAAAACACGCGTAACACAAAAACCTCAAAGTAACTATGCTAAAAGGTACACAAGGGTACATAATATATGCCATTTATACAACATTACGGAAAACGCAAACTAACCTATAGCAACAGAAAGCACACCAGTGGCTGCCTGGGAAGAGGGGTATAAGGGAAGCGTGCTAGAAAATATTTTAAAGGGGCACAAGGATACATGGTGGTGGTGATTTCATCCCAGACATTTCAAATTGCACACTTTAAATGTGTGTAGTTTGTCAGGCATGTATTGCTGTATTGATACAGCTATTAAGTATCAGCACCTTTTAAATTAGCCTAGGCCCCTCAACTTCCCATGGTCCAGAATTCCTGGGTTTTGTTTACAAACATTTATAATTTTCAATTAGGTAGGAACTTACAGCTAGCTATGTTTCACAACAGCCTGAAGGTTAAAAACTTTTTTTTAAGTGCTTTCATTTCTGTTTAAAGGGTCTTCCTTTTCCAGGTGCCACACCTCCCTGGATGGTCCAAGATGAGGACTGTAGCTCTGGGAACCAACAAATAGGACCCTCCTATGAAGAGTTTCTCAAAGAAAGTAAGTTAACTAATTCAGAAATAGTGATGGGTTCTTTAAGTCTTCCTACTCAAATAAAACTTCTTATTGTAGAGGAAAAACAGAAATTGAAGAAACTCCCACCAGACAGAGTTGGGGCCAACTTTGATCATAACTCCAGCACCGGTGCAGGCTGGCTGCCCTCTTTTGGCCGGGTCTGGAATAATGGACGCCGCTGGCAATCCAGGTATGGGCCCAGTGTCAGGACCCCAACCCACTCCCCCTTGGAGATCTCACCCTTCGTCCTGCTAACCCTTCATTTCCTTTCAGGCATCAATTCAAAACTGAAGCCGCAGCAAGAAACAAACAGCAGTCACATAAAAAGAAAAGTTAATGGTTTCCTAATACATTTTCAACTACCATAATGCTCAAAGCCAAATCAACAAGCCGATACCTACAATTATCCTTTGTAACTGCCTTTCTTAGGAAACAGACATGCCCATTTATTTGATTTAATAAAGTTTTATTTTTCCAAATATACAGCTGGTGGGACCTGTAAAAAAAAAAAAATTCAAGAATCAGAACTATAGACCCTTGTGAAGGCATGCATACTTCCTACACCATGAACCCCTGGGTTCTTGCTCACCTGTTCATGCATCTTCACCAGCAGCTGGAGCATCTCCACCCTTAGTATTTCTGGTGTAAATTACTTGAGCTCTGTGCTTTGAAACCAGTTTAATAAGTCCTAGAAAGAAAGCATAAAATTTTCACACAATAGTACTATGAAATACTTAATAAGACACTAGAAATATCTGTTTTATATTCCATCCCAAAAGAGAAATGCTGAATTTAAGCATGAGTTTAGGAGGCATGCCTACATTTCTTGGTTATAATCTAATTTGACTTACCCTTTTAAAACAAGGGACTCACCACCTGCTCTTGGGATGGCCACCTTCACAGCACTTTACTATAACTTGCAAATCACTGTTTTCCATTATTGGGCACTAACCAATAACCTAGATAACATGTTAGAATTACATTACTAACAACCACCTATTGCATTTAAGATGGCTAGCACGGTCAGGCCAACTTAAGGTGCAAAAGCATACAAATCAGTACAACACACCCCTCTCACCTTTACTAAGGAGCTCCTGCAAGGCTGCCCTGGCCAGGGAGCCACGAATCTTCAGTCTCTCAGAGACAACAGCTGGAGTTATAAGCTTATAGTTGGGAACTTCTTTACAGAGTTTGTCATATGTTGCTTTGTCAAACAAGACTAGGTTATTGAGCTTGTCCCGAACTTTGCCTTTGGACCACTTCTGCTCACCAAAAAAAAAAAAAAAAAAATCAGTGCTCCATTCTTCCCTCCTCTGGAACAACCTGCCTCAAAGAACTGTTACTTGGCTGTACGGCTATACTGAGAGAGTGGCTCTATTCCTTGGCCTGCAGAAATCTATGAAATGCAGAATTTGCAGAAACTCTGCAAATTAAGATTCAAATAATTAGAAAGCCAGAATTCAAAGCAAAAAGAGACCCTGGTTGTCGTTAAGGGCATCAAAGACACATCTGGTTGGGGGCGGGGGGGGGAACCTATTATTGAGACTTTCAGATACTGACTGAGCCCCACGAAACCAACTAAAATAACACTATGTGCTGCGTATCAAAATAAATGCTCTGTACACATCTAATTTCCAAACAGCGTATATGACCCCATTCTCCAAATAACGAAAAAACAGAATGCTGATGAAAGCATAAGCTGTAATAACCTGACTCTAGACCCCACAACCTTACAAGCCATCTGCTAGGTGTCACTTAATATATCGATAAGGGACGGGTGCCCGCAGCCTCCCTCAACGTTCAAGCGACTGACTCCTACCTTCTTTTTGGCTTTGCCCCCAGACTTGTTCACTGGGTCTTTGTCTTTCTTGGCCGACTTTCCGGCATCCTTCTTCTTCTTGTCATCCTTGGGCGGCTACAGAAGAAAAGCGGGAATACTGCCAGGTCTCAAGGCAGCCCCACGCTCCCCCTACCCCTGCGCTCCACCTCACCCCCCGCCCAGACTCCACTGACGGAGCACATGGGGGAAGCAATAGCCCGCCCGCCTCGACACGCGGCCCGGCAGTTCTGGGAGCCCTCCTCCGATGCCGCCCCAAATGCGCGCCGGCACCGCCGTCTCCCGAAACCACGCCGGCTGTCCCCGAACAGAGCTCTCACCATAGCGAAGCCGGGAAAGCAACTGCCACCACCTCGCCTCCCTAAGATGTCGGACAAAAAGGAAGTGCGTCTAGCGAAGAAGCCCAGAAATCTCCGCCTGCAGCGAGTGCTTCCGGGGTAAGGGGCGGGACCGCGCGGAGGAAGTCCGGAGGCGCAGGCCTGACTCAGGCCCGGAACTGGCTGCGAGCAGTGCGAGCTTACCCTGCAGCCGGAGGCACTCGAGGCTGCCCCTACCTTTTGCGCTTTGCGACTAGTTGTGAGGCAGTCACACGTTGCTGTTTCGTGACACTAAAAACCTGGGAAAAGGGACGGAAAACAATTTTCTAGATCCCGACAGCTAACGTCCCAGCGTTACTGACAGCCAGGCGTGCTCCAAGTGCGCAAGCGCCGCAGCGGGCCGCGCTCCCGGGTCGAGAGGGAACGCGCGGTCGGGGCGCCGGGGGCAGGTCCTGTGCTGCGGTTCCGGGGCGGGGCCGGGAGAGGGAGGCAGTCCCGCAGTAGCGGCGGCAGCGATGGCGATTTTCAGTGTGTTTGTGGTGAACAAAGCTGGAGGCCTCATTTACCAGTTGGACAGCTACGCGCCACGGGCCGAGGCTGAGAAAACTTTCAGTTACCCGCTTGATCTGCTGCTCAAACTGCATGACGATCGTGTGCTGGTTGCCTTCGGCCAGCGCGACGGCATCCGGGGTGGGTTAGGCTCGGGCCTGGGGGGCGGGGTCCGGTGCCGCCGTTTTGGGCAGGTGTCTCTGGGCGGGGCGCGGAGGGGGTGAGGAGTTGGGGCCGGGTCCATTGTCGCCTTGGTGGGATCTCCAAGCTGAGGCTTCGTTGACGCTTAGCCTCGGCTCTGCAGTGGGCCACGCAGTGCTGGCCATCAATGGTGTGGATGTGAGCGGCAAGTACACGGCCGATGGGAAAGAGGTGCTGGAGTACCTGGGCAATCCTGCTAACTACCCGGTGTCCATTCGATTCGGCCGGCCTCGCCTCACCTCCAATGAGAAGCTCATGCTGGCCTCCATGTTCCACTCGTAAGTCTCACAACCCTTCCTAGATTTTGTCGTTCTGCACTTGGCTCATAGGCTGGCTGGATTAGTGTGTTTCTGCACTCAGAGACTTCCTGAGCGGCGGTGCTTACCTTCCTCCTTCTAAATCCTCAGTTCTTGTGTCATGAAAAGAATTGATCCAGTATGACTAGGCTGTAGGTAATGCTGGCAGTGGTGTGATTTTGTTTGCTTAAGTCACCTTCTCTTTTCTGAGTCTTAAGTTTCTTCATCTTTAAAGTAAGGCAATTGAGCTAAATGATCTTTAAGATCTTTTCTTGCTGTCAATTATGGTATGAGATGTGCTGGATATGCATAGTCACGGGGTGAGTAAACGTGGCACATAGTCCCAGAGTGTTAATTTCACCCAAAGTTTTCAATGTACAATGTTTTGTAGCAAAGTATGAATGTAGAATACATGCAGAATTCAAATAAATTTTAAGTAATTTTGATACTGCTGCCAGGCAGTTCACACTGCTGCTTCTGACTATCTCAAGCTGTAATTTGAACTCTTCAGAAGATAAGGGTCATTTCAGCGGAAAAGTTCGAGAAGCACTTCTTCCTTATAGCAATGAGGTGCGTTCCCAACTTTGCCTCCTTTGCAAATAGGCTGTTCGCAATCGGCTCCCAGCTGTCTCCTGAACAGGGCAGCTCAGGCATTGAGATGCTGGAGACAGACACATTCAAACTGCACTGCTTCCAGACATTGACAGGTACGCATCTCTAGATAGGTCAAGGGGATGCGATGGGGCAGGTTGGGAGAACGGATTGGCCCAAGTTGGGTTTGGTAAGCAAGGGAGTGTTGGTCAGCCTTTTCTGGGACAACTGCACAGACAGTTACTTGTTTTGTGAATCTAAAGGCAATATTTAGTCTGACGCCAGTTTTGTCCATGCCACTGAGCATTATCCTGTCCACAGATAAAACTCACCTTAATGTTATCTCATGTTGCACACGTTTTGGAAGGTGTGTTGTTCCAAAATGAAATTTGAATGTGAAATGGAAATGACCTTTGGATCGTGACTGTCATTGCATCACTCGCTGAAGGCAGATCATTGAAAACTGCCTGAGTTTGTTCCTTGCCTGGCACTTTCTGCTGAGGGGCCCCCAGGCCAGAAGTAAGTGACAGGGCTAGGACCCAAAGCCTGGTCACTCAGTCAGCAACTGATGCAACAAAGTCATTTCACTTCTCTGCTCTCACCTGTAGATTCAAAATCTTGCTTTTCGTGCTTTATGTAGCAATAAGGATAACATTGAAGTGGGCATATGAAAGTGCTGTACAAACAAAGGACAGCATTATTTGCTGCATTCTCTACCCTTTGGTAATCATTACTGGTCCCTCTCCAGGGATAAAGTTTGTGGTGCTGGCGGATCCTAGGCAGGCTGGGATAGATTCTCTTCTCCGAAAGATTTATGAGATTTACTCAGACTTTGCCCTGAAGAATCCATTTTACTCCCTGGAAATGCCCATCAGGTATGTGGTCCCACTTCCCAGATTCTGGTCAAAGCCTCCTTGTTCCCCCTCCCTGTGTGCTTTTCCCCAATGTCATTTTGAAGTGTAATAGAGGTTGTTTTTTGGGTTTTTTGCGGTACACGGGCCTCTCACTGTTGTGGCCTCTCCCGCTGCGGAGCATAGGCTCTGGACGCGCAGGCTCAGCGGCCATGGCTCACAGGCCCAGCCGCTCGGCGGCATGTGGGATCCTCCCAGACCGGGGCACGAACCCGTGTCCCCTGCATCGGCAGGCAGACTCTCAACCACTGCGCCACCAGGGAAGCCCTAGAGTTATTTTTAAATAAAACAAAAGTAACTAGCCTTTTACTTACTTATTTTTTGGAGAAGCCAAAGACTTTCCTTGGGGTTTATGTCTTTCTTCAAGCAGAGTTTCCACTGGCTCTGCCTCTGCACCCAAGGTGGGGGGAGAGCCAGGCCTCACACTTTGTCCTTATTTGTGCTTCCTGGGTCTGGCCTAGGTGTGAGCTGTTTGACCAGAACCTGAAGTTAGCCCTGGAGGTGGCAGAGAAGGCTGGAACTTTTGGACCTGGGTCTTAGGCTGAACCTGCAGTGGACCCCCCCAACTCCCCGCATATTCTTGAGAGATCCTGCAACAGGGGTCCTGCTGTTTCCACTCCGATGGCGAGCCCAGCGGCATTTGTTAGTGCACTTGAAAATGGGAGGTTGCTGAGCCTGATGACATGTACCGATGCCCGAGCCTTAATACCATGCTCTCTTTCCTCCTGTATCTGTCATGGTCCTACTTCCCAACTCTGTACAGATTATTTATGGAGGAGGTAGGCCCATAAATGCTATAATAAACATTCCTTTGATCTCAGTGTTTGCTATCCTAATTGATGGTTTGGGGGAAAAGCCTCAGGAGGGGAGACAGGAATGATAAGGGAATTCTGGGAAAATGAGATACTATGTTCTAGTAGAAAACAAAACAAATATATGTTCATTAGGTGAATGAATGAACACGGGACTTTGAACCAGGAGCCTTGGTCCTAGTTCCAGAATCGCTGCTGACTTCCTAGGTGGTGGGTATGGTGGTGATGATGATAATGAAAATGATGATGGGATATTTGTCGAGTGCTTACAGCCACGTTTTACTGCTTTATCTCACTTAATCCTCTCCCTTACCTCAGGGGGTACATTCTGTTTCTATTACGGATGAGCTTCAGCAAGCAATGTACAAGCTGTCTGCCTCAAAGTCTCAAAGCTAGTTACCAGCAGACTGAGTTTGAACCCAGGCTTTCTGACTACACTGTTATCTCCCTCCATCAAATTACTTAACCTGCCTGGAACCCAGTAGTTTCATCTTCAAAATGTTCATTGAATTATGCAGTATGAAGTTGAAGGCGGTAGAGACATGAGCTTAAAGGAGTCCATCTACACTTTAGCTTTCCCTTCCAGGGGAATGAAGTCTCTCTCTTCTGGGGTGGAAAAAGCAGGTATTAAGGGAGTATTTCCCAAAAAATCTATCTCTGGCTTGTATTACCTCCACTTTTTTTTTTTTGAGAAGTACTCTATTTTTTAAAAAATATTTATTTTATTTATTTATTTCTCTATTTGGTTGCGCCAGGTCTTTTGCAGCAGGCGGGCTCCTTAGTTGTGGCATGCAAACTCATAGTTGCAGCATGCATGTGGGATCTAGTTCCTTGGCCAGGGATTGAACCCGGGCCCCCTGCATTGGGAGCACGGAGTCTTAACCACTGCGCCACCAGGGAAGTCCCTGTACTACCCTTTTTGAAAGAATGACTCACTGACAGGGTTTAGTATCAAATCTAGTTTTAATTTTCTGTAACAAGTCTTTCTACTCTCCCATCCATACCCCCCTACTGTACCCTGGGTATTGGTGAGAGTGACCCTCTTCCCCTGGAGTCCAAGGTATTGGCAGGAGCAGTTGCCCCCTGCTGAGAGGCCTCAGGGCAGAAGTCCTGGGCCATCGCTGCCCTGCTGCTGCAGGAGGAGCCTCACCTCAGGTGAGGATGGGGTGGGATGGGGACAGGGCAGGGCCCAAGAGAGGGAGAAGGATACAGGAGACTCCCTGAGTGCAGGGGTTTCCTCTTTGAAGCCAGGAAATAGGAGCTAATGGAGTCCAAGAACAAAGGTTGTCTTTTAAATAGAGATCAGATGGGAAGCTGGGACCTCATTAGCCACTGATAACTTCCAGCGCCACTTGGGTGAGGGAAAAGGAGCAGAAAGGGAAAGTCAAAGGTGCTAGTCAGATAGTCCCCTCCCTCCCTTCCCCCACCCCCATGGAGCGGAGAGGCCACAAGTGGGACAGGATGCTCCAGAGCCTGCACTGTCTTCACTCAGCCTTCTTGGGCACTCGGCCCATCTTGGTGCGGATGTTTCGTAGAAGGAAGAAGGCACCTGTGCTGGCTGCACAGATCACTTCAGCCACCCAGAACGCTGTGCTCCAGCTGTAATGCTTCGCAATGGTGCTGAAGGGCAACCCAGCCAGAAAGCCGCCCACTGTCAGGGAGGAGGGGAAGAGCCTGAGTCATTGTGAGGATAGAGCCAATGGGGCTTGTTCCAGCCCCTAGCTGGCTTGTGTGCGAGGCATCAGCCGGGGTATCACTTACCATTGGCCATGAGTCCCACAATGGCATGGGAGGTGCCACACAAGTTGGGAGGAGCACTCTCATTGGCTATAACTCCGAACAAGGCAATGGGGCCATAAGAGGAGAAACCAAACACAGCTCCCAACACCAGGATCCAGAGCTGCAAGGGCAGTGCAGGGTAGCATTTAAAGTCTGAGAAAGCCTCCTGCCTACCTACCCCTGCCATTGGATAGAGGAATGCTTGGCCCCAGGAACAAATAATTGTAGTAAAAGCAGACAGTAAGTGACTCCCACACACACCACTTCCCAGCACAGCTGACTGCAGAGCCAGAGGAGTGGGGGCCACATTCAGCCAACACAGGGGCCCGTGCAGGTAGGGGAGGGAGGTTCAGGAGCCATCCCTCCAAGTGAGATGCTGTCTCCTCAGGATTTGTGCAAGCTGGATTGGCTAAGGGCAAGGCAGAGGCGGTAGGACAAAGGTGAGACACACCGAGAGGAAACCAGAGATAAAGATAGGGCACCTCATGCTCTGTAAAGCCTGTGAGCTCAGCGAGAGGGTGAAGAGCCGGAGTCCAGAAAGCAACATCCTAGAGGAGCATAGAGAGGAGAAGAAACCAGGCCCAGAGTCAAGGAGGGGCATCAGAGTACAGAGGAGGGGAATGGAGGTACAAACAACTGAAAAGGGCAATCAGAAGCGGAGAAAGACCAGGGAGAGGGAGACAGAGTCAGTGGCCCTTGCTTTCTCATCCTTGTCCCTGACGTGGGCCAGTCCCTGTTTATTTACCTTGGGGGAGTCACTGGTCACAGTTACCCGGAAGAGGTACATGGACGCTGTCATGCCAGCCATCATGAACAGCAGCAAGCCATGGCGGGGGCTCCCGTACATGGACAACCGTGCCTGTGGACACAGTCAAGCAACATCAGGCCCCAGGAGCAGCAGAGAACCCTCACCCCTGGACGCTGACACGGCAGACCTCTGCTGACAGGTCTTTGGCAATCCCATTGCAGTTCTTGGCCCAAGGCAGCTCTGGGAGGCCCTGGGACCTGCTTATTATGTTCTGAGGCCAAACTCCACAACATCCCTTCCTCCACTTGGGGCAGGCTTGGGGACACGTGGTGGCAGGCTGCATCCAGTCCTTCCCCAACCCCAGTTTCCCTGGGGCTGTGGAGAAGCTAGGCGGAGAGAAACTCTGGCTCTCCTTGACATCAGTTAAAACCCTTTCCCCCAAGAGCCTCATCTCCACATCCCCAGCAAAGAAGAGTAGCCTGGAATCATTCCCACCTCACCCAACCTAAACCAGCATATGCCAAGCTGCCTGTGCCCCAGGGCTCCTACCTCTCTGGTGCCTGTCCCAGTCCTGCTGGGAAGATTTAAAGGGACCCTCCTCCTTCCTGTCCCTTCTGCCCACTCACCTTGGCCATGGCCCGGTCTGACAGGTAGCCAGCTGCGATGCTGCCTGCAAGGCCCCCAACCTCCAGGGCACTCATGTAGGAGCTGCCTGCAGTGGGGAGTTGTGGTGGGAAGAGGGAAAGGAAGGGTGGAAAGGTGTTACACCTTGGGGTTGTCCCAGACTGACTTAAACCCAGAGAGGTACAAGGTCCCCAAGGGTGACTGGCCACAGCTGCCTGAGTACTGCCCGGCCTCAGGGAAAGAAGAAAGGATAACGGGAAGCGGGTCTGAATTTCCCATCCCCTGCATTGGCTCCTGCTCCCTAGGCCTGCCCCATCCCAACACTCGTCTCACCCACGAGGGCTGACTGTCCTCTCTCCTGGATAAGGAAGAACTGGCCCCAGTCAGTACAGCACGTCTTTACTCCAAACACCACAAGGTAGCCAGTGGAGAGCACCCACAGGTAGGGGGTCAGCAGCAGCTGCTGTAAGGTACTCTCCTCCTTCGGGGAGCCTGGGGGTGGGAGGAGGCCAGGCTTCAGGACTCTGCTCAGGCTGCCCTGCCCCCACCACACATTAATAGCCATAGGGGCAGAGTCCATCCACACAGCCAAGGATCAGCAGGAAGGTCCCCCTCACCCACTGTTCTGCCCTCTCTTCTCCACTGCAAGTCTCAGCGAATGAAAGAGGACCTGAGGACCAGCGGGGATGGAGGAAATGCTGTCCACACAGGGAACTCTGGCTCTCTTGTAAGGAAGGACTAGGCTATAACATGAGTCATAGCATTTGTTGGCTCGGCCACTTGTCCGGTACTTGACTGCCTCTCAGGATGGAGTTTTATTTACTCCTCACCCACTCTCCATCACCATCCCGACATCCATTAGCTAGTACAGGGCCAGGCATACAGCCAGTCCTCAATGAAAGTCTGCCAGGTGAATGATGAATGAAGGTTCCCTAGGGGTCGGCTTTAGTGCGCACTCACCCTTCTTGCCCTTGGAGGGGGTGGGGTCCAGGTTGCGGAGTCCAACGTCAGCAGGTTCATTGTGGATGAGCAGGAGACAGAGGAAGGAGACAACCACACACAGTGCCCCAGACAGGGCCAGCGTGCTGCGCCAGCTATAGCTCTGGGCGAGGATGGTTGCCAGGATGGGGCCCAGCCCTCCAGCCAGGTTCATGCTGGTTGATAGGACGGCCCACCAAGTGCCAAATTGAGATGGCTCAAACCACTGTGGGGCAGAGGGGGACAGAGTAGTTGCTCAGCCTACAGTCCATATTGAAGGTGAGGGTCAGGTGGGGCAGACCCAGAAGCTCACATTACAGGGATGAGGGAGAGGGCTCTTCTACTTGGCAGGGCCAATTCCCTCATCTGCCACCTGATCCCACCACGTTCAGCCTCCTAAAATATCTTGACAAGCAAGAGGAGCTGGACTGGAGCTGGAACTGGAACGCCTGAGGAACCTGCTCTGGTTGCGGGTGGAGGTGCCAGGGTGCCCACATGCTCTTTAGGTGTCCTCTCTGCCAATCTGAACCAGCTCCTTGGAAGCAGACACTCACCTTCCGCAGGACCTTGCCACATGGGGGCCAGCCCAGCCCCTGTGCCAGGCCATTGAGGAACCAGAGAGCAGCAAAGACGGGTACTGCGGAGCTCCAGGAAAAGACTACGTTAACCAGGCCAACCAGGAGAAGCCCGGAAGAAAAGAGCCAGCGAGCACTCATCTGGTCAGAGAGCACCCCGCTCACAAACTTGCTGATGGCGTAGGCTGCCGACTGGCTGCTGGTGATGAGCCCTGCAGGGGAGGGGAGCAGGGAGCAGGACACCTGGGGGGTTAGGGGCCAGGGCAGAGGCACAGGAGGGGGGAGGAAGGCATGGGGTCAGGTGTGTAGAGGTGCCTGGCAGGGTGAGACTGGTTCCTTCCAAGAGGAATAGGAGGGGCCTGTGTTGGAATAGTGACATTCATTCATGGAGCCAGGCTACTCCTCCCGCCTCTCCATCAGCACTAGCCCCAGGCTGACCCATGACTTTTCAGCCTCTTGGAGAGTTCCAGCAGCAGCTGTCAGGGGGCAGGACAGCCCTCCTCCATGGGATTCTCATATGCCTGATTTCTCCCTCACCATGGATGCCAACCCAGGGTCTCTGGCAGTTCTGTTGCCCCACCTCAGAACATGGGGCAAAAGGCTTAGAATTGGAGTCAGGGAACTTATTCCTCCCGAAGGGTAGCCTGCTAGGCCACATGGAGTCATTGCACCAATTCCGCAGTTCCCAGTGCTCACAATGTCAGTGGCCAGCACTCACCCTGTGGTCTTAGCCTGCACCCACACAGATGCAGAAACCGTGCTCAGAATCCCTCTAACACACAGTGCCTCTGGGGACACATGTTAGTCACAGGCGGGCGTTCACACACACCCCAGATAAGCAGCCCTCAGACATGCTTAGACCATACCCATAGTCCTTTACCTGTGCCCACAGACATGGATCTCAGAGCCGCCTCATCCGGCACATGCACTGTCCCCTGGCATCTGCTGTGCAGACACTCCACACACACACTACATGCCTGTACCCACCACACTGCACAAACACCCAACTTGTCCTGCTGGTCCCGTGTTCCTGGGCTCATCCCTCCCTGCCCTGCCAGGGCTCACCCAAGTCATCCTTGTCCAGAGGGACCTCCTCCACCAGCGACGGCATGACAAAAGAGAAGGTCTTGCGGTTGAAGTAGTACAGGCTGTAGCCTCCAAACATGGCCGAGAAGATCACAGTGCGGTAATAGCCGTAGCCTCGGGCCGCCATGGTGGGAAAGAGCAGGCCCTACTGGCCGGGACACAGAGCCTCTGACCACGGCTCCTGATTGAGTCTCTCAAGTGCTCAGATCTGCTGAGTTGGGCTTTTTCTGCTCCCTCCTCCAACCAGCCTCCCAGGCTCCCTTTATAGGCACCTTCTGGACAATCATTAAGCCTGGGGCGGCTCCTAGGGAACCCGGTGTCCTGAGGGAGAGAAGAAAACAGGAGATTACTGACGCCCGCGCTGTGGGGGCCCGGAGGGCGTCCGAGAGGGAGGCAGTGTCCATGAGCCAGGCCAGCACCGTGTGTCCCCAGGATTGCTGTCTTTCCCGGCTCTTCCCTGTCCTCCTGCCCGTGAAACCAGCTGTGATTAAAGGCTTAACCTAATTATTTTTGTCGGCTTGCGCTCAGGGGAGGCAGGGTTGGGATGAGTAGAGCTGCCCTCTCTAGCCCGGCTCCCTCATCCACCTACCTTCTCATTCATTCCGCGAAGGTTTATTAGGGCTTACTGGTTGAGAGGGACTGCACTAGGTTCTGGGTTAGTTTCTACACACGCACACACACACTCAGACACCTACCCCCAACAACCTCACTTTCAAGTCTTCCAGAGCTGACCTCAAGCCCTGTAACTCCTGATGCTTAGCACACGGTAGGGTGTAACTGTTTATTGACAGTTGCAGAACCGTAAGCAAGGGGCGGGGGAAGGAAGTTCCCTGCTCAGGACCCACTTTCGGTTGCACACCGAAAGCCCCACTAGGGGCAGGGGTCCTGGTTGTGCCACTCAGATGCCTCTGGTCGCCTTTACCCTTGACGTCAGTATGGGTTCCGGTCAGGCAGGCTGGGGCTTCAGGGACCGTGACCGGACGCCCCCACTTTCAAGTCTTCCAGAGCTGACCTCAAGCCCTGTAACTCCTGATGCTTAGCACACGGTAGGGTGTAACTGTTTATTGACAGTTGCAGAACCGTAAGCAAGGGGCGGGGGAAGGAAGTTCCCTGCTCAGGACCCACTTTCGGTTGCACACCGAAAGCCCCACTAGGGGCAGGGGTCCTGGTTGTGCCACTCAGATGCCTCTGGTCGCCTTTACCCTTGACGTCAGTATGGGTTCCGGTCAGGCAGGCTGGGGCTTCAGGGACCGTGACCGGACGCCCCGTGGGCGGGAAGGCGCAGAGACAGACTCCAGGCACAGTGCCCATGCGCCCCGCTTCCCAGGGCCCCGGCAACACGCCCCCGGCTTTGCCGCTAGGTTGGGAAAGCAATTGGAGCAGACGGCGTGGGCGCAAGCGGAGCAGGGTGCCACACGTAGGCCCCGGAGGCCCCTCGCTTCCGGCGCCGAGTGGCTCGGCCAGGCGGGGTGGGGCCAAGCGGCAAGAACAGGGAGGAGGGAGCGAGGCGGCGGGCTCTCGGCACCTGCCCAGCCCCGTGTCCTCAAGCTACCCGGGACACCCGACTCCGGCTGCGAATGGACGGGGGCCCAAGTGCAGGGGAGACCCCTGGACGCATGCGACATAAAGGAGAGGGAGCGTGCTGCTCCCGGACCCAGCAATTGCCTCCACCCCAGAACCGGCAGCCTCAGAAACTGCTCCCGGTTGGATTGGAAGTTGGGCCTCCAACAAAGGAGCCGCAACACTTGAGACTCCCGCTCCAGCCCCGCCCCCAGGCGACGCCCCTCCCCCGCACACTGCCCCCTACCTGAACGGAGGTGGGAGCTGGAGTGGCATGGGGCGGGGCCCGGCGGGCGCATGCGCGTGCGCCCAGAGTGGGGCGGGGACTCCGCCTGCGTCTTCCAGTCCCGAGAGCCGAGGCCACCCACAAACTTTTTCATATAAGACTGCGGGTCTCGCTCGTCGTTGGGCGAAGACAGCGCCCCTTAGGGGCTGGAGTCGTACGTCCCCTTCTTAACTGATGGCCTTCGACAAATCAAATCAGTGAGTTCCTCCAACTATTAATTACTGTTCCCGAGTTGTTCACGGTCTGGGAAACATCTTGTAAGAGAACACAGTATTTTCTGTAAAAAATTAATGCAGTCCTCAGTAAGCACGATTTGTACATTTATCTGTGGTCAGACTATTGCGGACAGAGTTAAAACAAAATAGCCAGAGTGTTTAAAGTATGGGCCCTGAGTAAAACTTAAATTCGAATCCCGGACGCACTGCTTCTGACAGCATGACCCTGGGTAATTAATAATCTCTATGAGCCCCCAGTTTCTTACCAACGTCATAGGGTGCTTGTGAGGATTCAATAGAAGATTCAGATACAAGTTCAGAAAATTTAGATAATTGCTTTCACAGAGTCCATCAAAGAATTGCTGAAATAAGTGCTTCAAAGTTGAGAGTAAAGCTCTTTTAGAGTGATGTTAAAAACACAACAGGTCCAAAATGATGTTGCTTATGCTAAGCCTCACATCACCAAAGGGAGACTTAATTACAGTTGTGGCTCTCCCAGAAGTGGAATCTTAAATAAGTCAATCAGGAATCACCTGGGACTTCCCTGGCGGTCCAGTGGATAAGACTCCGTGCTTCCAAGGCAGGGGGCCTGGGTTCGATCCTGGTTGGGGAACTAGGATCCCACATGCCATGTGGTGCCGCCAAAAAAAGAAAATAAAAAAGGAATCGCCTGCTCAGCACTAGTTATCTAGTTATGTCATCTACCTCTAGACCCCCCTGCCATTCCCTAAAGCGAAGTAACCTGGTGATAGCCAATCTGCTTTTTGCCTAGTTTAATTCCTTGTTCCTGTTCCCTGCTATCTATAAAAGGCTTTCATTTTGTACAGCTCCTCAGAGCGCCTTTCTAGCTGCTAGATTGGACGTGTCCTGATTCATAAATTGTTGAATAAAGCCAAAAAGATGTTTAGAATTTTCTCAGTTGAATTTTTAAAAATAAATTTATTTATTTTTATTTTATTTATTTTATTGTTGGCTGTGTTGGGTCTTCCTTGCTGCGCGCGGGCTTTCTCTGGTTGCGGTGAGCGGGGGCTACTCTTCACTGTGGTGCGCGGGCTTCTTATTGCAGTGGCGTCTCTTGTCGGTGGAGCACAAGCTCTAGGTGTGCAGGCTTCTGTAGTTGTGGCTCTCGGGCTCTAGAGCACAGACTCAGTAGTTGTGGCGCACGGGCTTAGTTGCTCCACGACATGTGGGATCTTCCCGGCCCAGAGCTCGAACCCCTGTTCCTTGCCTTGGCAGGCGGATTCTTAACCACTGCGCCACCAGGGAAACCCAGTATTATACTTTTTTTAAAGGCCCTTTTAAAGAATTACAGAGTGTTTGCTTTTGAATGCCATGGGTCATACTTTTATGGGTGTGACTATAAACATTGTTATAAAGAGTAAGAGTTGTATAAAATAAGAAATAAATACAATACTGAATTTCTTTTCATATTAGCATCAATAAACCTCTAATCGCACTTTCTGCCCCTTCAAATAGAGTTATGGGGGAGACACTATTTTTTTGTTTGTGGTAGCTGCTTAATCTTTTTTTGTTCCTTCATACTTTTCTGTTATAAAAAGTTTATCTGATACTGTGATGTGTTCATGATAACTATTCTTTAATTGGAAATTCCCTGGCAGTCCAGTGGTTAGGACTCTGTGCTTTCACTCCTGTGGCCCGGGTTCGATCCCTGGTTGGGGAATCCCACAAGCTGCGCGGCGTGGCCAAAAGAAAAAATTCTTTTATTTTACTTTGTTATAGTAGAACTAGTCATCATGGACATTTCTGCTACCAATAGCAATCTAAACTAATGTTGGCGAAAGACTAGGTATGTCGACTGAAAAAAAATGCACAACACAAAAGTTGAGAATTGCGTTTTATTCAGTAGACTTGCTGAGGACTTAAGCCTGGAAGACAGCCTTCTCAGATAGCTCTGAGGGACTGCTCTCAAGAGGTAAGGGAGGAGCCAGGATATATGGGCAAAACCCAGGTTGTCAGAACATCAAACGATTACTGTTAATTAAAGAAAACCCAGACATCTCAAGTTAATGAATATAGGACTTTTCTATGTATTGGAAGATGTAAGAGTCTGGGCTCATTGAAATCATTCCTTTCGTATGCACATGAATTCTTTGGGCCAGTATCCTATTTTTCTCCTTTGAATCCCCTCAGAATGCACAGTTGGTGGTGGCTGCATCAAGCTGAGGGCTTGATGGCTGTAACATCTTTTGTTTACGAATACGACATTCTTCGTCCACAGGTACTTACTTTATTCTTGCAGATTCAGCTCACCTCTTTTGGACCAAAGCCACAGGAGAGCAAATATTTTCACACCTATTAGAATGGAATTGCAACTGTCATACATTCAGACTGTTATGATCCCAAGCAGTCTTTATATAATTTGAATTACATTGTATGTTAGATTTTTTATAAAGTTTGGCCAGTTTTTACAGAAGAAATTATTTCTCTGATACTTTGGTCCTATCTGTGTAAAACTAGATTTTTTTCTTTTTTTTTGGCCACGCCACTCAGCTTGTGGAATCTCAGTTCCTGGAACAGGGATTGAACCTAGGCCACGGCAGTGAAAGCCCAGAATCCTAACCACTAGACCACCAGGGAACTCCTGAAACTAGATTTTTAAAAAAGTAATATGTGACCAAATTTAATTGTCTTCCTAAGGCCTAAATAAAGAGAAATCAGTTTCCCATTAAAGGAAGGAAGGAAAGGAAGGAAGGAAGGAAGGAAGGGAGGAAAGAAAGAAAGAAAGAAAGAGAGAAAGAAAGAAAGAATGAAAGAAAGAAAGAAAGAGAAATCTTTCATGATTTTAATATTTTTCAAAAATGCAGGCCAGTTGTTCTGCAGAATGTCCCTCATATGGATTTGGCTGACTGTGTTTGCAATAAGGATCATATTAAATAATTTTGGCAGGAGTACTGTATAGATGACAATGTGTCTTTCCCAGTGTACCACATCAGGAAGCATGTGATAAATTTGATCATTTAGTTAAAATGGTGTCCACCTGATTTCTGTACTAGAGGAAACTTTTCCTCTTTATAATTACTAATCTATAGTGGGACCATACTTTGATACTACAGATATATCCTCCTGTTTCAACAATCTTTCACCCAGTGGTTTTATCATCTATTGATGATTCTTTCCTGAGTCATGTATTAATATGGTGGTTGCAAAGTGGAGATTTTTTCACTCTATCATTCCTTCTGTATTTATGAGTTGGTATTCTTCTTCTTTTTATTTATTTATTTATTTATTTTTGGCTGCGTTGGGTCTTTGTTGCTGTGCGCGGGCTTTCTCTAGTTGCGGCGAGCGGGGGCTACTCTTCGTTGCGGTGTGCGGGCTTCTCATTGTGGTGGCTTCTCTTGTTGCAGAGCACGGGCTCTAGGCGTGCGGGCTTTAGTAGCTGTGGCACACGGGCTCAGTAGTTGTAGCTCGCAGGCTCTAGAGAGCAGGCTCAGTAGTTGTGGCGCATAGGCTTAGTTGCTCTGGGGCATGTGGGATCTTCCCGGACCAGGGATCGAACCTGTGTCCCCTGAATTGACAGGCAGATTCTTTTTTTTTTTTTTCATCTTTGTTGGAGTATAATTGCTTTACAATGGTGTGTTAGTTTCTGCTTTATAACAAAGTGAATCAGTTATACATATACATATGTTCCCACGTCTCTTCCCTCTTGCGTCTCCCTCCCTCCCACCCTCCCTATCCCACCCCTCCAGGCGGTCACAAAGCACCCAGCTGATCTCCCGGTGCTATGCAGCTGCTTCCCACTAGCTATCTACCTTACATTTGGTAGTGTATATATGTCCATGCCTCTCTCTCGCTTTGTCACAGCTTACCCTTCCCCCTCCCCATATCCTCAAGTCCATTCTCTAGTAGGTCTGTATCTTTATTCCTGTCTTACCCCTAGGTTCTTCATGACATTTTTTTCCCTTAAATTCCATATATATGTGTTAGCATACGGTATTTGTCTTTCTCTTTCTGACTTACTTCACTCTGTATGCCAGACTCTAGGTCTATCCACCTCATTACAAATAGCTCAATTTCATTTCTTTTTATGGCTGAGTAATATTCCATTTTATATATGTGCCACATCTTCTTTATCCATTCATCCGATGATGGACACTTAGGTTGTTTCCATCTCCGGGCTATTGTAAATAGAGCTGCAATGAACATTTTGATACATGACTCTTTTTGAATTATGGTTTTCTCAGGGTATATGCCCAGTAGGGGGATTGCCGGGTCATATGGTAGTTCTATTTGTAGTTTTTTAAGGAACCTCCATACTGTTCTCCATAGTGGCTGTATCAATTCACATTCCCACCAGCAGTGCAAGAGTGTTCCCTTTTTTCCACACCCTCTCCAGCATTTATTGTTTCTAGATTTTTTGATGATGGCCATTCTGACTGGTCTGAGATGATATCTCATTGTAGTTTTGATTTGCATTTCTCTAATGATTAATGAAGTTGAGCATTCTTTCATGTGTTTGTTGGCAATCTGTATATCTTCTTTGGAGAAATGTCTATTTAGGTCTT